TTTCCAAACACATATCTGCAGCCCACACCTCTCTCCTGAGCTCCAGATTACTATAGCTACATAGCTCTTTTTAAATCACTATTTAGATTTTTTAAGAGGAATCTCAAACAAAGCAATAGAAACTTAACTTCATGATATCACTCCATTCCATCTGATGCCCTGTCCTATATACTCAACTGCTTATACACACAAAATAACTTACTCTCATTTTTAAAATTATCTTTAAGTAACTGTATAAAAGAGTTACCATTTAACAAAGCAGTTTATGAAAATAATATATCTTGCTCATTGTCACCCCTTTCAATATTCTCATCCATTCCTCTCCCACCCACCCTTTCCCTTACGCTTCTTAATTCTGTAGGATATATATGGGATTCTTGAATCTCCATGCCTTAATTGTTGAGAATTAAAACCTGACATCATTGGTTCTCTCTCTCTCTCTCTCTCTCTCTCTCTACTGGTCCTGGGACTTAAAATCAGGGCCAGGTCTTGAACGTAGGGCCAGGCCTGTACACAGTCTCTGAGCTTTCTTGGCTCAAGGATAGTGCTATAATAGTGATGCCACAGCTCCACTTCTGGCTTTTTGGTAGCTGAGTGTAGATAAGAGTCACACAGACTTTCCTACCTGGGCTGGCTTCAAACCCTCATTCTCCAATCTCAGCCTTCTGAGTAAGTAGGATTACAGGCATGAGCCACTGTCCTCTGGCCTTTGGTTCTCTTTCATTTCCTTGGCCAATGCTGTCAGCTTGATCCTTAAACTATATCCCAACTTCCCTCTTCTTGTCCTCTCTAATGCTAGTATTTTTGCTTTCTTTCTTTATTTTCTTTTTTTGTGCCAGAAGTGGGGCTTGACCTCAGAGCACCACTACTCCCTTGGTTTGTGGCTCAAGGCTGACACTCTACCACTTGAGCCATACCTCCAGTTCCCTATCAGCTTGGTTTGAATCATCACTACCTTTCACCTAGAAAGTTTTCTAATGGATGGATCCTTCTGTTTCTTCTCTTGCCTAAAGCCTCTTTCCCAAGTCTCCACATTTCCAGTGCAGCAGCCAGAGGGTTCATGTTATGACATTCTTAACTCAACCCATTAATAGCTTCTTATCCCTTTAAGTAAATGTCCAGGCCAGTATAGTGGTCTTCAAGATCTTAGCACCTCGTATGTCTGACCTCTTCTTTTTTCATTCCATCTGCCCTGGCCTTTCTATTGTTTGCAAATGTCAAACAAGCTCTTCTCTTCCTTTAGGTTTTTCCTCAAATGTTACTGTGTCATTAAGGACTTCCATGAATACGGAAATTTCAGATTGCCTCTATTATATGTTGGCACTTTTTACTTTCTATTCTCCTTCCAGCACCTGGTTATATAATCATTTGAAATACTTACTAGTGTCTATCTTGATCCACAATGCACATGAGAGTAGGACTGAGAGTAAATATACTTCTTATGTGTTAGACCTTGTCTTCCTGTCAGATTTAAGAATGAAAACTACTAACCTAAAGAAATCCAAAATGAATAGGGAAGAGCCTTGAAGAAGGAAAGTAGAAAGTAAAGCCACAGGACAGATGGAAGAAAAATGTGATGCAGGTGTAATGGAAGAGATGGGTGAGGCAGGTAATGGAGAAGAGAGAAGAGAGAACTGGGAAGAACATTTTGGTATTTTCTTTTAAAAATAAATGTTCTTTTAAAATCTTAAACTCCAAAGATCATCAGATACATTGGTGACTTCTCTGCATCTTCAGAGCTCTCATTATAATACTATAGCCTGCACTTTGAGGTAGCTTTTGCGACTTAGTTTTGAAATTGCACATGGCAAGTCAAGTACAGATGATCTTTGGTGCAAAGAGCTAAAAAAAAAGTACACTTACAAAAGCTCTTCAACTTTGCAGGTTATCTACCATAATTATCCTGGACACAGTATCTGAGTCTGGCTAAAAGGATCAGTAGAGCTTGAGTGATCACTACCATAGTGACCAAGGATGCTCAGTAACTCTGATAATGTTAGCTAAGTGGTCTTGATTTTTGCTTATTTAAGATGTTTTATCCACCTAATAGAGATTACTCATAGCATAGACATGTATAGGGGAGACAGACAACAATGACAAGAGCAGAAGAATCCACATAAATGGAATCACTTCTTTTTTTCTTTTTGGTTGGTTGGGCTTGAACTTAAGGCCTAGGTGCTCAAAGCTAGCACTCTACCACTTAGAGCCACAATGCCACTCCCAGTTTTCTGGTAGCTAATTGGTGATAAGAGTCTCAAGAACTTTCTAATCCTCAGATCTCATTCTCTTGAGTGGCAAGGATTACAGTCTCAGCTCCTTTATTTCTTTAGTACAGAAAGGTGTTGTGTATTCCACTGCCAATTAAAAAAAGAAAAAACCATTAAGAAAAGAAAAAAACCATTAAGAGCACTGTGCCTCTTTCTTGTTAAGTAAGTTTTCTGACACATGGCAACTAGTGATTAATTACTGTGTTAGAAGATAACATTCCTGTAGAGATTTGCTGGAAATTCAGATGCTGTCCATGCTTGATTAGACATTGCTTAAGGAATGCTGAGGCATGCTGCTTCAGTCTATTATTTCTGCCTATTTTGGTATTGCTGTTATATTTATTTTACATTGCTTCAAATTCGGTAGAGCTGATAGAATCCATTTCATAAAACTTGACCCTCAAATAAGAGGTGAAAAAACTACTTATAAGGTGTATCTATAGCACAGCAAAAGAAAAATGATGAGAGAGATGGTGAACAGTAGGCCTACAGAATTGCTTTCTGAATGCTCTTTGTCTTCAAAGAAAAAATTGGAAGCATATACATTTTTTAAAAAAGAAAACTTCTATGAACTTCTGAAAATTTACGATGTCAGTAATTAAAATGTTCAGGATGTTAAAGATAAACTAAACCAATATAAGCCTTTATTTTAAATTCATTCATTCATTCATTCATTCATCACACATAGTGATTGCTCACTGTGGTCCAGTGACCAGGAAACAAGACAGTTCTGGCCTCTTGGAACTTACCACCTGGTAAGAAGATGGCTTTTTAATCAGGATCAGAAGGTCAGAGACCTCCAATGGTATGTGTTTATACTACCATTCACAATCCATTAAAGAATAACATAGAATAGTAGTAGTAACATTCAGCTTTTACCTACTACTTAGAACATAATTCACAAATCCAACTGTGAAAGGCAAGATTCAGTTGCCATTCAATTACGTCCTGAAGAAATACTTCATTGGAGCATGGTCTGCCGATGCCAACTTCAGTACTGCCCAACCTGAATTTCACCATTCACATGTCAGGATTTTTTTTTTCCCTGTTGCATGTTCGGGCTCCATACTGTCTGCCAAGAACTGTGTCAATTTACTTATTTCAGCAAAATAAAAAAATCATTTAAAAAAGGATGATTGAATTTAGGAATTATACTCCTCAGAGAATTAGTAATGGTTCTCTGTATCCCTCAGGCCTCCATGTTCTTAACTTCCCCTTGTCAATGTTATTATGAATAGACTAATTCAATAATGAGATCATTTCCCATAAGAGCAGCCAAATAATGCGGCATTCAGTCACACCTGGTTTCCCTAATCTGAGTAAGGAAGGCTTTCCACCAAATTTAGCTTAAGACAGGGAATTTAATGAAAAAACACATGCATGCACACGCAGGGAATACACACACACACACACACACACACACACACACACACACACACACACACAACACTATCCTGAAACTATGAGGAAACAGGGTAAGGGTAAGAAAAGAGCAGAGAAGCAGTGGAACAGGGGAACAATGCACCAAACAGTAACACATTGGGGAAGAAAGGTACAAGGAACATAAACGGTTCATTTTTATAACAAATAGCCAAATATATGCTGCCAGAATGACATAATATTTTAGCATTCTAGTATTTCATACTTCAAAAATAATTTCAATATTTCATGAACCCCTAAAGGAATAAAAAATTCACATGATAAAACACAGAATTAACAAATAAACAAGAGTATTCTGCATGCTGAAAGAAAAGTATTTCCTAGCCAAAGTTTTTTTTTTTTAAATGAGAGAGCTTATGGAATAATTCACGTAACCATCATCCATCCTCTTCAAGACCATTTAAGCATTCATTAAAACACCAAACTGAGTTAATATACAGTGATAAGACCAAATAAATGGAAATCAATATTAATTCTTAAATTTGAAAAGAAAATGTATCTTATAAGAAAAATAATATTAAAAATTGAGTCAGAAAACCTAAACAAAGGAAAGAACCGTGCTGAGCACTTATCTTCCAGCATAAACAAGAGAAGATGGTTTCAACTGGAAAAAGACAGACAGCTTAATGAAAGTTTGATATTTGCTGCTTCACACAAAGAAGCAAATGGAAAAAAACTCACATGCCCAACAGATACAGATGATTAAAAAATAAATTATGGTTCCAGTATAGCACTGGAATAATTGTTGAGATGTAAAACTAATATTTATAAAGAGTGTTGGAAAGATGTTTTCCAAGAATGGTGTTTATAGAAAATGCAATTAAATAGATCAAAATTATATCAACATATTTCTAATTTTGTAAGCAGAGAGATCGTATGCATTTTTATGTGTACAAAGTCTCGCATGCGTACAGCATTTGCTCCCAAACTCGAGGGAAAATATACCTAAATAGCATCATTTCACACCAAAGATTTATGAGCAATGTTCCTATTTTTCATTATTATCTTACATAGTTTATGCAATTAGCATATTATGCTTGTATTCAGGAAAAAAAAGTTCATAAGAAGAACTTAGGTCAGAAAAACCATTTTCCTAAGGGATGAAAATTTCAATAGAAATTTGTCAAATTATCTTCTCTATCATTTAAGAATATTTTTCTTTCTATCTCTCTCTTTTCTCTGCTTCTCTGTCTCTTCTTTTGTCTCCTTCTGGCTTTTTTAAAACATTATTTTTTAAGAGCTTATTTCAAGCAATGAACTTCAAACAAGGAATCTAGGTGAGTTCTGTCATACCTTGCGAAATCCAGATCTGCTTCTCGTGACATGGTGATGTTGGTCAAATTCTGCTGAAGAACGAAAATGTTTCTACACATTTTCTTGATGCCAGATTCACTAATGCGCCTGAAGTATTGGGCACCGTTGATGAGGATGCAGGAGATGAGATGTCCCAGGCCTGAGGGTCAGCACAGTGCAGTCAGGAGGAAAGAGGAGGTGCATTAGTGGCATCTAGTGGAAACTTGTGCATAGGATTTCTTACTTACTTCTAATTCTTGAAAAAAATTAAATAACAAAGAAAAATATGTCAGCTGGTTCCACCAGCTAATCTTAAAATAATTCTAGAGTATTTCTACATTATTTAGTAGTTACAAATGAGAGTGCTTTGCTTCTAAAGTGTTAACAGGAGAGAAGGTAACTGGAAAGAAAACATAAAGGACAAGCAGATCATAAGACAACAAAAGACACAATCAGTTTGTTCTGATATGTGAAGCTTTGTCTTATAGTCTATAAAATTTGGTACATGGAAGCTCAGATCATCTGTAAACTAATGGGTCTCCTTCAGCATATCCCATGTCATTGAACTGAAGAAAGATGGTTCAGAACAATGTGAGACACATGTAGATTTCTATTTTATTATATTTTGGTTTTTGTTGGTCATGGGGCTTGAATTCAGGGACTGAGCTCTTTTGCTCAAGGCTAGTGCTCTACCACTTTGAGTCACAACTTCACTTTTTTTTTTCTAGTGATAAATTGGAGATAGGAGTCTTGTAGACTTTTTTTCCCCCTGGGCTGGCTTCAAACCATAAGCCTCAGATCTCAGCCTCCTGAGTAGCTAGGATTATAGACATGAGTTACCAGTGCCTTCCTAAGTTTTTATTTTTAAAAGTTAGGTTTAATTCTAAACACCAGCACTAAGTAGACATTTCTCCCATTATTTTTAGTATTGCAAAGTTGGCCTGAGCAGAGTCCCTTCATGGAAGTAACCATGGGTTGCACCTCATTGAAGGGCACATCATCAGTGCAATTGCTCCTGTATCTTCACAGTAAGTTTCCCCTTGACAGGGGAGACAGTAGAGAAGGGTAAGGGAGAGTCATTCTCCTGCTTCAGCTACACCTGCCCAATGCTTCAAGACCCAAACTTGTCTGTGCTACCAGTTAGAGTGAAGAATAAGGCCTTTATTCAGAGAAAATGAAACCTAACTACACACTCTACATTAAAAGCTGGACTACTTATTCAGGTGAACCAAATTCAGGTGTGGTTTTATTTTGCCATGGTATAATATGGCCTGTCCACATTCTAGGCATATCTTTTGTAGAGCATACGCACAGAAAAATAACTTGCCATTCACCCATGATGCATGCCTGTAACCCTAGCTACTTGGAAGGCAGAGATTGGGAGCACCATGATTCAAGACCTCTTCTCAAATGATAACTAAGTACCATGGCATGTGTTTTCCAGCTATATAGGAGGCTGAGATTAGGAGTATTGCAGTTCCAGAGTAGCCTGGGGGTGGGGGGAGGAGTTCATAAGATCTCTAGCTCAACAGAAAAACTTGGGGTGGTGGAATGCACCAGTGCGAATTCATAGCCCAGGCCAGCATGAGCAAAACAGAAAATCCCCTTTCCACAATTATCAGCATAGAAACGAACTGGAGGTGTAGTTCATGTCCCTGCCTAACAAACAAAAATCCCCGAGTTCAAACCCCAGTATACTTAAGAGAGAGAGAGAGAGAGAAATAATAACTTGCTCCCAAATTAATAATGCCACAGCACTAATTAACCTTTTCATCACCTGTACCTTTTGAGTAAAATCTCCAACAGAACACAACTTCATCTTTAGGACTCCATTTTTAGAACTGAACAGGAAAACAGAATTGGAGGTGCCCCAACTTTGCTGTAACCTGTTTCATAAAGCAAACACTGGCTGTGCAGTTCCACTTTCCCATCTTTGGTCTGTTGCCAGGTGTGAACAGTATATCTTCTTAATTGTCTTAGGTAATACTGGTTTTATGCTGTGTGGGAAGACAAATGCTTTCGGCACCCAGGTCTATGTGTCAATCGCCCAAATTAAGAAAAAGGAAATACGATTTGGAATCCTAACAGAATTCAGTTGTTTCTCTGAGGCTCTTGACTTAAAAGGCTCGGGTCCTAGCTTGCACTGCTGGAAGGTGGTGGAAGGAGATGGGACTTAGTGGGAAGGCTTTAGGTGACTAGCAGCTTGACAATAACCAAGAGCATTAAGAGACCCAGCCTCCTCCTTTCTGGTCATAAGATACACAGTTGTTCCTCCACTAACCCCCTGTCACTGCCATGTAGCGCCTCCAATTAGAGGCTTAAACGCAATGGGTCCACTCAACCCTGGACTGGGACTTCCAAAACTTTTCTCTCTAATTTCATTATCCCAGGTGTTTTATTGGAGAGATAAAGTCCTATGGGAAGCATTCAGTGTGAACAGTTAATTTGGTTGGCACCATATTTTGAAAAACTTAGAAGGCACATGTCTTCAGATGGCACTGCCTCTCGAATCCTTTCCTGCTCCCTTAAGGAACTCAAGTTACCTAGCAATTCTGGCTCACCACAGGCTTCCGTCCTTTTCAGATGGGAAGGTATTTTGTGAGAGAAAGCTTTCCCTTCCAGTAATAAAGATTTTTCACACTTCCCTCTTCACTGTATGTGTACCATATTTCCTTCCTTTCCTTCCTTCCTCCCTCCCTTCCCTCCCTCCCTCCCTTCCTTCCTTACCTCCCCTCTCCTGTCCCTTTCTCTGTTATGTGTATGCTGGTTCTGGGGCTTGAACTCAGGGCCTAAGCACTCTCTTTGAGCTTTGCTGGTACCAGCCTTGGCTGGTACTCTACCATATCAACCACACTTCTACTTCTGGCTTTTTGCTGATTATTAAAGATAAAAGTACCATAGACTCTCTTGCTTGAGCTGGCTTTGAACAGTGATCCTAAGATCTCATCCTCATGAATGATTAGAATTACAGGTGTGAGCTACAGGTGCTTGACTCTTTTTGCTTTTTTTTTTTTTTTTTTTTTTAGGAAAGGAGCTCCTTTTGAGGTACTTGTGTTACCTGTACTGTATTGTTTCCCTATCAACAGATCAGCTGGCAGCCATGTTACATATATGGGGAGAGGCTAAGTATTGCAGCCCTAATCTTAAAACTAGCAGATAATTTTTCTCCAAGTTTTGAATTTCAGTAATAATAGAAACAGGGAAAATCTTCCCACTTCCTTTCTCATCAACTCCCAGAGAGAGAGGAGCTGACCTTCAAAGATATATTGGAACTTGTGCTGCTGAAGGCTGGCACTCATGACCTCTTCAATGGCACTTATGTCTTTGTTGAGCTTGACCACCAGAGGGTCATAATCCATACTCTCCACATTGGCAACAATGGCGTAGTTCCCCTCCTTTGCAAGAGGGATGAGATAGTGGAAACAGTGAACTCTAAAAAAGAAAACAAAACAGATGAGAAGATCAGTTAATAACACATCTTTCCAGTGAAGGTAACGATCTCACGAGATCATAGTACCAAAGTAACTGAAACTGCAGTGGTCTCATAGATTCTTATATCATCTTCTTGCCAATGTTTTTAAAACCAGAATGCCCCCTTAATTGTTCTACCGAACTGCTGATCTGAGCAAGTGACCTTCTGTAATCTTTGTTTCTTTCTACATATGCTTGTGATAAAGGATATATGAGTTCTTGGGTTTCTTTCCATGTGAAAGGAGCCTGGAGAAGGAATAGACAGAAGGGAGAATGATGGAAGGGATTATACTGATTAAGAAGCATGGGACACTTAGATGGACACATTAAATTGTAACCCCTCTTGTATAACATTTTGAAGTTTAGAAAAAAGTCAGATTTTGTGATATATAATTTATAGTAGAACTTTCCATATTTATTATACAGCTCCTGAAAAAAAAACAAAACAAATCTTAGAACTATCCTATAATCCAGCAATACCAGTTTGGGGCATTTCCTAAACATTACAAGTCAGGATACAATCAAGACACTTGTATACCCATATTCATTGCTGTAGTATTTACCATAGTGAAGTTATGGAAACAGTCCAGATGTCCTACAGTGAATGAATAGATGAAGAAAATGTGGGATATATATATAGACAATGGAATTTTATTCATTGATCAAGAAGAATAATATCATGTCATTTGCAGGGAAATAAATGGACCTGAAAAACATTATATAAGTGAAGTAAATCAGGCCAGAGAGACAAAGGATGCATGTCTTCTCTTCTCTGTAGAAGTTAGATCTAAATTAAAAACCTTAGACACAATCATACGCATACAATCTCTTCTCTGTAGAAGTTAGATCTAAATTAAAAACCGTAGACACAATCATACGCATAGATACAAAAATTGAGTAAAGTATGGTATATGCAGGAGACAGAGGATTCCAATTGTGTAACTCTTTTGAAATACTAGCTTACAGTTTACCAAAATGAAATACCAAGAAGCTGAAACATTTTTTGTTGGAGGGGGGTTGGGGCTCAAGGTGTGGGGAGCAGATGTGTGAAAAGAGGAAGAATAAGCACAAACAGACGTTACGATTCAATGTATGTAAGTGAAAATGGAACTGGGTAACTTGAAAGGATGGGTGTGGTGGGATAGACGGGCGGAGGAGAACGGTGGACAAGGTGACACTGATCATAAACTGACAAGTTAAATTAGAATGCCACTGTACAATTACTTAAATAAAAAATATTTCACTAGAAAATCAGTTATTACAATAGATGCATTTTTGTATCTCACTGTAGTATTAATTTGAATTTTAAAAAATAATTTATTGGAGATTAAATTTGGGGTTTAGTACTAGCCAAAGATTTGAAGCACATCTCCATTCGTTTGCTTTTGGTTTCTCTAGGCTGGCTTCTGACCCAGATTCTCCTACCTCTGGCCTTTGAAATAGCTGGAAATATAGGCCTATGCCACCACAACTGGCTAGTTTGTCTTTCCTTAGCGACTAATAAGGCTAAACATTTTTATGTGCTTGTTTTCTATTTTGTGATATATCTCTTCCCATCATTTGCTCAGTTAAAAAAATGGTGTTCTTAAGTTTTGAAGGTTCTTTACATATTCTGGATATAAGTTTCTTATCAAATCCACATTTTGCAAATATTTTCTCTTAGTTTTCTTTTTTTATTACCTTTTCATTTTAATAATGTCTGTCAAAGAACGAGTTTTCAATTCTGATGAAATTTCATTTATTTATTTATTTTTTATGGAAAGTCATTTTAAGAACTCTTTGCCAAAACAAAGTCACAGGTTTTGCTCTTGTGTTTCTTCAGGAAGTTTTAGTTTTTTTATTTAATTTTTTAATTGTTTTTAAGTAGTTGTACAAAGAGGTTCCATTCTACAAAACAGTATATGAATACAAGGTGTCTGACAACATTGTCACCCGTCGGTCTAACCCATCCCTTCTAGGAAGTTTTAGTTTTAAGCACTGCATTTATTTTGTGCTTGTTTTTCTTTTTTCTTTTTTTCCCCAGGGATACAGAGGATCACACCCTTGTACATGCTAGGCATGTGCTCCACTACGAAGCTGCACCCCAGCCTGTGTGATCCATTTTGAGATGTGTTATGCACAGGATGTGTGATGTTCTTATACCCTGTTCATGCCACGGAATCAAATAGCTGGGCTACTTTTTGTTTTCAGTGATTGGTGCTCATCTTAATGGGTGCTAATAGTGACTAATTTCCAACTATAAAAATTAATTTGGACATCCATGTGTTAATTGATAAAGGGTACAGTTTTGATAAAGATATCAGTAATGGCACTGTTCACAGCCCCTATCAAATGTGACATTTCTGATATAATGAGAGATGACCAACTCTGGAGTGGGATTCATTCCTAGGGCAACTGATTGCTAACTGTGTAGAAATTACACTGTAGTAGCACTTAGTTGAAATCAAAACATCTATATTAAAATACATTTACAGTAAATTACAGACAGTGTAACACCAGGCAGTGGGAATACCACATGAATAGATCTGGTTTTATGAGGCTGTATAATTCTGAACGATGGTGAGTGGTTCCTTTCTGCTGCACACACAGGTCACATGACACAAGTGTAAGGTGACTTGGAGAAACTGGCAGGGGCATGTAATAGCCTTTGAGGTCATGTAAGGAATTCAGACTTCATGCTAGACACCTTAGGAGAATTGTAAGAGGTAAAATGATGTAATCACATATGAGCTTTGGAGCTAGCATACTATTAGTTCTTCAGGAGGAGAAGACAGGAGGACAGGAAGATCACAAGTTCAGGGGTAGCCTAGGCAGTTAGTAAGATCCTAGCTCAATAGTGAACATAAAGGAAAGGTCAGACTTGGGTTCAGACCTCAGTATTGAAAAGGGAAAGGAAGGAAGGAAGGAAGGAGGGAGGGAAGGAAGGAAAGAAGAGAAGAGGAAGGGAGGCAGGGAGGGAGGAAGGAAGGGAGGGAAGACAGGATAGATGGAGAGGATGAAGAGAGATGATCCATAATGCATAGATAGATATGAGCTTTGTCAAGATAACTAGCATGATATAAGACTAAAGTGACTTGCCAGCCACAGCGAGGCCCTGAGTCCCATCCATAGTATGGGTGAGAGGGGAAGGTGAGAAGGGCAGAGAATGGAACTAGCTGAAAGTGAGGGCTGATTAGGAAGTCCCTGTGCATTGTGGGTAAAAGCGAATCAGATCCTAAAGTTGGTGGTGGATAGGAGAGAAAACCACCGTTTCAGGTTCTCCACTCTTCCTTCCAAATGCTACAGATTCAGTGAATGTCTAATTCCAACAAAATTTTATTTTTCTTTAAATTCTGGCATGCTGTTGCTGACCTTAATGCGACTTTGGCATTAAGGTTTTTCCGCAAACACGGCTGATTGCACAGCGGGAAGGCTGATTTTCACACAGTGCACACTTAGCATCCCAACAGTGGCAGGCAGTTGCTGTTTAGCCCACTCCGAGCCCACCTGATGGTGAGGGAAGTCAGCTGATCAAGGTGACATTCCTGACACCTTGCATTCAAATGGCAACTTAATTTCTTCTCTAAAGTTCCAAGATGAACAACAACAACAAAATCACTCTGAACTTTTAATGGTGTTCACCAGGTCTTTCGTCTCTTGGAGGTGCCATCTGCCTGATGCTCCACATTGTGGAAAGGGGCTGCTGCCTGGGGGTGGAAGGCGATTTGCAATGACACGAGTGAAATGTCAAATGATGTCTGGATGGGTTCTTCAACTCAGAACCTGCTTGATTTACGAATATGTTTTTTGTTTGACTTATGACAATATTAAAGAAAAATAGGGGCTAAGGATACAAGGGTATCTGGAGGAGAATATACCAAACATTGGCATTTGAACTTGTTTGGGACTCCTCGCTGGCATAACTCATCAATAATTTTTACACATGGATTTATTTTTCTTTTATCTTCTCTCTCTTTGTCTTTTTGGGGGGACTGGGGGTTTTAAGGGAGGGCTTCACACTTGGCTAGGCAAGCACTCTACCACTTGAGCCTCAGCTCCACCCCTGTTACTTTTTAGCTGTTTTTCAGATAGTTCTGTACGTTTGCTTGGAGCCAGCCTTGGGCCATAGCCTTCTTCCTCAGCCTCCCGTACAGATGAGACTACGGGTAGGTAAGACCACTTCTTGGCTTTGTTTTTGAGGTAAGATCTTTCTAACTCTTTTGCCCGGGCTGGTGTGGAATCTCTGTGCTCCTTTCTACCTTCCACATAGTTTGTATTACAGGTGTGCGCCACCGTGCCTGGCCATCTGTGTTCTCTTATTACAGTGAATTCTTGGCAAAAGTGCTAGAGACAGAACCTAACCAGTCTTCATCAGGCAGCTCCTGGACAACAGGTCGTCAGTTCTAATTGCTTTTCACAGCTGGATGGGAACAAAACAACCTTTAGTTAATTGTCACAGAATGATATTGGTCACATACTCTTAGGTATACCTCCAATGTGCAGGGGACTAGTAAGTGGACTAATGTGAACATACAATTCATTTTCTTTAAGGAACAACAGCTTTTGCTTGGAGAAATAGCATTTAGTTTATTGGGGTTTAAAAAAATGTTTTTATTATCTTTAATCAGTTGCACAAGGGAGTTGCCATTCAACAAAGCAGTTTCTGAATATAGTGTGTCTTAATCAATGTCACCTGTCAACCTCCTCACCCGCCCTGCACAACCTTCCCTTACTTTTCTTAATTTTTGAGAGATGTACTGAATTATTTTTTTGTCATTTGACAATGCAGTTTTTATATAAAATGTATCTTAATCTTTGTCATCCTTTTTACCCCGCTTCGATCCACCTCTTCCCTTATCTTTCTCAGTTGTGTGGTATACCCAATGGATTCTTGACTGTATTCTCCCTGTTTCCCCACTTCTCCCCTTTATTCATGTACCCCTCTGCCCTTGCCCCCTTGCTCTTGCAAGTACCCATTTCCTGGTACTTGTTTGGCAGGGTCTGGTTTTAAGGAAGGTAATTTTTTTTTTTTGGGGTCCGGTCGTGGGCCTGAACTCTGGGCCTGGGCGCTGTCCCTCAGCTCTTCAGCTCAAGGCTAGCGCTCTACCACTTGAGCCACAGCACCACTTCAGGCCCTGCTTATGTGGTACTTAGGAATCGAACCCAGGGCCTCAGGCATGCAAAGCAAGAGCTCTACCACTGAGCTACCTTCCCAGCCCAAGGCAGGTAGTTCTTAAATCACCTTCCATGCAGGGCCGGTTCAGGTTCACGTTCTGGGCCTACTAAGAACAGTGATCAGGACACATCTAGAAGCTCCTGTGTGTGTCATCCACAGCCCTGGCATGCTGTGCTCCCACAAAGCTTGGCACTTGCCCTGCTGTCACGCCGTTACACGACAGTGTGATCAGTGTGAGACCTGGCTCATTCACTGTGTATCGTCACTGTAATGAGGTAACAGGACCGAACTGAGCGTGTCAACATTTACCATTGGAGCTGTACATGGGGTATTCTGCTACTTTTATGAACCAGGCTTTGAGAGGGATAAAGACAAATTGAAGCATATTCAGAAAGCAATATGAATGTCAAAACCATGTTATAGAGGAAATGTGGAAATTTAATTTAGGAAAAATAAACATGTTTAGTGTTCTCAAAGTCAAGATAAGCTAATTCTGTATCCATGAGTCTGAATTTCAATCATTTTTTTTTCTTATCCAATCTGACATTAGCTTTTTCTGGTTTTAAACCATCATTGAAGAAGATATGGTGTTGGGTGTTAACAGCACTGTACGGTTTCTTGTAAAGTTAATAAATAATGACTAAAACATGTTCTGCATTATAAGAATAGTATTGCCAAGATGTATAAAAATAAAAAACACAGAACAGAGGTTAAGGATTTAAAAGATCACACTGAGACGTGTTGAAAAGATCCCACATGGAATTAAACACCACCACAAGTAGGTAATTCTGAATGTAGAACACGTCTTGGCACCACACAATCAATAGCACACATTCCAGGAGTTTTGAGAGTAATTAATTTGGTGTTCCCTTGTTTTTCTTTGCAAGGCAGGTAGCAGGTATCAGAATATAACTGGTGTTTTTATTTTTTCCCCCCTCCACTGTCTATTGCATTTATCTATTCATAGAAAATGCCTGCTTCATTTCACTATCTGCTTGAAAATAAATGGAAAACAATTCTAAAAATTATCATAAAACAAATCAGAAAACATACAGCAAGAGCCTTTATTTCTGGACAGGTTAATATAAGAAATGAAATAATGCGGAGAAAAACAGATTCCAAATCTGCAATGCTACTGCATTTTTTTTCTATTCAAGCAACAAAACAGGGACTCACTGGGCAAAGTTATGAAGAATAGAAAAGGCACATGAGATACAAAAGTGGTCTTGACACACCTGAAAACCACCCAAAGTCTAACCTTAATCTTGACACATCCCAATGGCTGATGAATGATCCAAAGTCTCATTTGCACTTTTAAAATCTAGGTATTATAAAGACTTCAAAAGAAAAGCCAGTGTTCTAACAATTTTAATCATGCTCTACAATAATGCACGAGGAAATGTATTACCATACCATTGAGGTTTCTGATCCTGAAGTTTCAAAAGAACACACCCCAACTGCTTACTAACATTGACACCCATGTGAGCATCGCAGACTGAACATCTCAAAAATGGGATTCCTGATTTCCACCTCCCCTGAACCTTTTCCTTCAGTCAGTCCCACCTCAGATAACAGCCTTGGCATCCACACTGTTGCTCAGGCCCCCAAAATGGTAGTTTTCCTTGAGTCCTCTAGCCCCTGCATCCCATTCAAGCTGCCAACCCTTTCTATCAGTGCTGTCTTTAATACATGCCCAATACAACACTTTCCATACCTGCCCCTACATCTCTGATGCTCCTACCTACCCATCATCCAACTTTCATTCATACTTCTTTCTCTCTGCAATCCTTTCTGTACAATAGCCACTTAATCTTTAAAGAATGTCAATTCGTTAACTTCTATCCTCTAATTTTTATAGATTCCTATGAACCATTAAGAACCATCCTATAGCTTCTTAATGCACTTAGAAGAAAATCCCAACTATTCACTTGGTAGGTAAGATCCTTCAATGTGCAAGTTTCATGGCCTACATGCTCAGACTCCAGCCATCTCTTATACCCCATTCTTCAGACCTCACACCTGCCTAGTTCATTCAGCTACAAACACATTAGGCTTCTATCAGTTTCTCACAATGTCTTGGAATGTGTTTTTCTCAGGTTCTTTTTTTTCCTTAATATATATTTTTTATTGTAAAGATACTGAACAGAGGGGTTACAGTTACATGAGCAAGGTAATGAGTCCATTTCCTATTGAGCATTGTTACCCCTACTTTATTTTTCCCCTGCCATCTCTTTCCTCCCTACCTCCCCAACTCCTCCCTCCCAACCCCTTATTCCCCCTGTCCCTAAAGTTGTAAAGTTCATTTTCAACATACTGTCTTGTACATCTCATTGTTACAATGGGTCATCCTGTATCTTTATTTCAGCATTTTGTTATTTCCCTTCTCCGTCCCAAATTAGAAAAATGTATATTCAAGATGCAGGACACTGGAATCAAATACAGTGACAACAGGGTTTATACCAGGAGGGAAGAACGTACAAAGAAACAAAAGAAAAAAATCACACAGTACATTATAAATACAGTAACAAGAACAATAAGAAAGATAAAATCTCTTGTGTCACTATCTTGGGGTTCATTTCACTTAGCATCAGGTTATATGGTCACATGTACATAGCTTTTGACCTCTTCTGCTTGTCCTAGACATATACTAGTTATTGCAGATAAGGGAAACAATGGGACCCATGTTTCTTTGAGTCTGGCTTACTTAATATAATTTTTCCCAAGTCTTTCCATTCCTAGTAAATTGGGTGGTGTCATTCTTTCTGATGGAGGCATAGAGTTCATATATATATATATATATATATATATATATATATATATATAAAAAATCACATCACATTTTCTTACCCATTCATCTACTGAGGGGCATCTGGGTTGGCTCCATATTTTAGCTATGGTGAATAATGCTGCAATAAACATAGTTGTGCTGGTAGCTTTAGTATGACCTTGTTTGTAATCGGTTGGGTAAATACCTAAAAGTGGAATTTCTGGGTACTAGGGGAGCTCTATATGTAGTCTTTTGAGGAACCTCCATACTGCTTTCTAAAATGATTGAACAAGTTTACACTCCCACCCACAATGCAGCAGGGTTCCCTTTTGGCCACATGCCCTCCAGCATCTGTTATTATTAGATTTCTTGATTATAGCCATTCTAACTGGGGTGAGGTAGAATCTCAATGTTGTTTTGATTTGCATTTCTTTTATGGCTAGAGAAGTTGAGCATTTCTTCATATGTCTATTGGCCATTCTTATTTCCTCTTCAGAGAAGTCTCTTTAAGTCTTTAGCCCATTTATTAATTGGGCGGTTGTTTCTTTGAGTAGCTAGGATTACAGGCGTGAGCCACCAGTGCCCAGCTCAATTAGAAAATTTTAAATGATCTATGTGGTTCCACTTATAGTTCACATTGTCTTTCTATTGAATAGCATAATTGGTCTCATTATGCTACTTTATTGCTTTAGCTACATTTATCTGAAATTATCTTTTTTATATAGTCATTGTCTATTTCTCACCATTAGAAGGTAGTTCAATGAGAGTAAGCACCTTGAATGTTTGTTTATTATGGTGTCCCAATTTTTGGAATACTGATTGGCACAAAGAAGATTCTGGAAAATTGTTCAATAAATGAATGAACAACTGAGAACTTTTTAGTGCTACCTGTTCTCATCCTATCTGTTTCATAATGGAGGCTACCAAAGCGAAGCGGAGTATCCCACACCACAGAGGAAGGCACAAAAGGCCAGGAGTCTGGCATTGTTGAAACCGTGTTTTTGCATGATCCTTTTAATTTACTCTCTTGGGGTTTAGGTTCCCTGAAAGACAAGACTGTGGTTCTTGCATCTGTAATTCCCTTGACATGTTTGCCTTAGTAAAAAATATCAGTGACAATACAGTTCTGTTTGTAAAGCTACCACGCTAAGTACTGACTGTACTGCAGACACTGCACTAGTTGTAATTACATATATAACATATCTCTAAGTGAGGAATCACCACTTTCATTTGTAAAAACAGAAAACCATGGGCTTTTCAAATTAATTAGCTAGCCAACTGGCATGAACATTTATACACAATTCTGTATTATCATACTTAAAAAGCAGCAGCTGCTCAAATTCTTTAATGGTGATTGAATAATGCTAGAAATCACTGTAACAAAAGGACAATATCAACAATAAGAACCAAACATTCTTGTAGCACCCCAACTTCTACTACCAGACGCTGACATCACAAAATCCTGTGTTTGGTTGGGACATACCTCACTTCAAGATGCAGGACCAGCAAGCAGCGGTCAGCCATATCCTGGAAAGACTTGGCAAGTTCACTCAGAGTCTGCATGATCTGCTCAGACACTGGGGGGAGGTCCATGTGCACGTGGCTTTCTTGAGCCGGAGAAAGCACTGGAAGAAGAGGGAGGACAGAACAGCAGTCATTTCACTAGATAGCTATGATGCACATCATTTTGTTTTGCATCTTGTTTTTACTACTTTGGCTGTCAGAGTTGGCAGCATTAAAAAATCTAAGACATGGTAGACTATTGTACTTCATTCTGTTCTCAGCTGATTGCCTTGAAACAATTCACTGAAGGATTGAAACAGAACCTCACAGTTGGAAGGGGCCTTAGCTGTCATGTGGCCTGATTATATGGTCAGTGCTTGTGTCACCAGTGGCTTATTAGCTTTTCATTGCACAGTCATATAAATGCTTATGAAAGGAAGCACAATACCTACCTACAGCAGCCTGTTCTACCTCTGAAACATCTGATCATCATACAACACGCCTGTATCTGTGCTCATTAATTCTTCATCATTGGCACTGGTTCTACAAAGCTTTGCCATTCTCAAAACCCAAGTACTGGAGTCACTTTTTTGGGGGGGGGAGGGGCGGTCGGTCATGGGGCTTGAACTCTGGGCCTGAGTGCTGTCCCTCAACTCTTCAGCTCAAGGCTAGCGCTCTTCCACTTGAGCTACAGCGCCACTTCCAGTTTTCTGTTGGTTTATTGGAGATAAGAGTTTCACATTCTTTCCTGCTTGGGCTGGCTTTGAACCGCGATCTTCAGATCTCAGCCTCCTGAGTAGCTAGGATTACAGGTGTGAGCCACCAGCGCCTGGCCCGTGGAGTTACTTATTTAACTTCAGTGAAGCTGTTCCTTTTCTAAGACAGATGTCTCTAGTGCTTCTAATCATTCTTTAAATGGGTTGGATTGGACAATTTAATATTTCCTAAAATTTACTGACAAAAATATCCCAAGTGTTCTGCATTTCCCATGAAATGTAGGACTCAGGACTAAAAAGAGTAAATATGCCAGAGGGCTCTGACTTTTTCTTTTTCTAGGTGTCATGCTGTTAACACTGAAGTTTAAAAATCTTCGGTGTATGTGTGTGGGCACACTTAAGTGTGTTAGCGGTCTGCATTCCAACTTAATTCATCTCTAACTTGTGGGCAACTACAAACACTAAAAGGTCTTTTGGAAAAATTGATAGAGCTATTTTCAATATTGTTCCAAAATAATTTATAAATATTAAACAACACTTGAACAATTTTCTTTAAAAAAAACATCGGATAACATCATCCAAAAAAATGTACTCTTTATTGGACTTACATAATTGGAACCCCTCTGTATATCACCTCTATAGTATCAATTAAAAAAGACAAACTGTAAGCAACATTTACCTCTCAAGTTCTGCATGTAGAGCTCTGTTTAACTCCTAGAGTTTTGTAATGATCACCAGTAATAATTTGGCTATTTTTCCAATATTTCTTTTATTCACTAGAGTCTGGATTTGAGTCCTGTCTCTCTACCACTCATTTATGTGACCAAAAGTTTTAATTACTTAAATTCTCTCTGCTTTAGTTTCTGTTGTAAAATGGAGTAACAGTACCTGTATGTTATGAGGTTTAATGAATATGGGAAAACACTACATCAGCATATGAAATATATTCAATATTCATACAAATCAGACACAAACCATTATTAGTTTTCTTTACCATTTTATTTGTCCAGGTTAAGTCTTAAGATTAACTGTAGCTATGAGGTATTTATAAGATAATTCTGCTGGGCGCTGGTGGCTCATGCCTGTAATCCTAGCTACTCAGGAGGCTGAGATCTGAGGATCGCGGTTCAAAGCCAGCCCAGGCAGGAGAGACTGTGAGACTCCTATCTCCAATAAATCACCAGAAAACCGGAAGTGGCACTGTAGCTCAAGTGATAGAGCGCTCACCTTGAGCTGAAGAGCTGAGGGACAGTGCCTAGGCCCAGAGTTCAAGCCCCATTACCGACAAAAAAAAAAAAAAAAGATAATTCCATCTGTCCTGAAGTTCAACTTCCAATTGTCAGTATGTTTTGCTTTTCGACCTAAAAGTCCTTTTTTCTGTCAGAAGATGTTGAATCCTTTGGAACAAATGTTCCCAGAACTTAGATCACAACCAATTTCGTGAGGTACACTGACTCAGGGGGCAGGTTCATGGCACAGTATAGGGTGTTGACATCTATTTGTACTATAGGTATGCCCTACAATGCTCTGTCTATAGACTTTGCTCAGTCCAAACAAGAGGCAGATTGTTAATCCAGATTTCTGATACTAACTTTTCTTCTATGGAACCAGACTATAATAAGTAAAAATGCCATGATGAAAACATTAAAAAGCAAATACTGTTCAAGGGAACTGACAAGAGGAAGGGAATGTGAGAGTGTAGATTTCATGCTATTATTAGCCTTGGTATCATCCTAGATGCTGACTAACTCCATCTGGATGAGTGACACTGTACCTCTCCCTAATGTTAACATTATTCATGTTGTTTGATCACAAGACAAGATCACTATCTTTATAATGTTTCATATGGCAGGGTAGATGAAAGCAACTATTAGTAACGTTATTATAATGTTTCAAAGCATTTTAGGGCTTTTAAGCCCCTGGGTTTCTCTGATATGTGATCCTAACTGTAACATGGAGAGTTAGCTATGCATCAATGAAATAAACCAGAAATCAGACCTTGAAATCTCACTCATGGTCTAAGGTCCAAACAACACTAATTGATCAAGATCTATCAAAGACATCTTTGGATAAAGTCCAATAAGAAAACTTACAAATATTTCCTTTTCCTATTATATAAACATTGAATTTCATAATGTGACAATTGACCACTGCCAAAATACAAATTAAAAAAAATCAGAGTGAGCCAACAGCAAGTTTAGCTGCCAAGTAAAACTAGAAATGTAGAGCAGCTCCGAATAGTGACATACTATACATTTTGTTTGAATGTAATCTACAGCAGAAACATGAACAGTTTATTAAAGCACCACAGAAAATTAGGCTCAAAGCTCTACTAAAAGATGGTCTGTAAACACCTAAAGGATTACTGGAATTTACCAAGCTTTCTTCTTGAGAAAGAATATGTTGAGCAGAGAAATGCTGAGCATACTAAACAAAGACAGCAGAAAACAATCAACTAGCTCTCTAATGTCAAATGGAAATCTACAAAAAGGCAATGGTGACAGAATTGCCTGGGAGATAACAGTCCAGAAATGAGGTTACTGGACACACATACAGATGAACACACACACACACACACACACACACACACACACACCTTTCGTACTATATATTTATGTTAGGAGTGCTCTGTGCATCAGCACAGTGCACAGGTAAGCTTTACAAATATTAGTGCTTGATTCTTCTTTTATTAAGACACACACTTTGAGCACTTTTTTTTTTTAATACTGGGAGTGAATAATATCATTCCCATCCTTGTCTGGCTTCCAGGAAGAATTTTTTTTTTTTTTGCTAAAGTGAGAGGCTGTTTCCCCTTTTCCTGATTTGATAGGGTGAAGATTAAAAATCAGATAGAGTCTGGTCTTACTCTCTTTGCCTTCAGAGGTCATGTTCTATTAGGAAAATGAACATATCTTTAAAGCATGGCAAGCCAAAAAATTGGTGACTTGCTGTCATGCTAAATCTTGTTTTCAAGTCTCTGAAATATTAAGCTCTAGTACAATGTTCTCTGATCAAAACGCTTCCTCCAGCTCTCTCATACCCTTGTCTCCATCAAACCTGCTACTCAACGCTGCAATCCCTTCTCTCCTGGGGGATTCCATCCCTCAGCAAGGATGGATCCCATCAGGGCTATTCAATCAGGGACCTCAACTCCCTCAAATGTTCTCTTTCCTTCACAATGACCCCCATATGCCATCTAAAGGGTCATTTCTATAATTTAAACAAAGAAAAAAATGGTAGATTGTTGCCAATTAACTGACCTCCATTTTAATCTAAAAAAAAAAAGAAAGCTTTTGATAGCATTTGTTTGTCCTTTCACTGGTGCTTGGTTAGTTCTTTCCCTGTCTTGGTGACTTTTACACATTCATATCACTCTCCTCAGGCCCTTTGTCCAACCTACTCCCTATTACTTCTTTCACAAAGACCTCAGATTCTGTGTGTGTGTATATGTGTGTGTGTATATGTGTGTGTGTATGTATGTGTATGTGTGTGTGTGTGTGTGAGAGAGAGAGAGAGACAGACAGACAGAGACAGAAACAGAGACAGAGAGACAAAGCCCACTGGTAGTGGAGAGGCTTAACTCAGGGCTTCACACTCTTGCTTGGCATTTACATTCCTTCACTGTTGTACTACTTGAGCCACACATCTACTTCTAGCATTTTGCTAATTAATTGGAGATAAAGAGTCTCACAAAGTTTTCTGTGTGGGCTGGATTTGAACCAGGATTCTCAGATCTTAGCCTTCTGAGTATCTAGAATTTGAGGTGTGAGCCATTGGCACTAGCCTTAAGTCCTCAGATTCTTATTGTGACTGAGAGAACTATCAATACTTACTTTTCCCACAGCCCTGACTTTTATTAACTCCTCCACATGACATAACCTCATTTCTGCCTTCATCTATTAGAACTTGGTTTCTAACAATGATCAGTAGTTCTCTATCAAATGCACTGAGTGCTTTCAGCCTTCCTTTCATAAAAGCTTTCTGTCACATGAGACCTCATTGGCCACTTCTTGACCTCCTATCTTCTTTTGGCTTATGGGCATCATATTCTTCTGGGTATTCTTTAACTTTCTGGAATTTTCTTCAGTTAATCATTTTTTTAAACATATGTTCTACTCTGAATTCCCTTCCTATTAGTGATTTAGCAATTTACACATTTCAGCTATACAGGAGTATATATTATCTTTGACTTCTTTCAGCAAAGACTAATTTCTGCTAGTTTTATTTGCTAAATATTTTCTTAATATTTATTTTCTCTTTTGTACACCTATTGCCACTTTTTTGGTTTAGACCTCATTTCTTCTTTAGAACACTGCAGTCTGTGCAGGACATGACCAATATCTTGATGCAGAAGTCTCCTCATTGATGCCTTGTGTCTCTGGCCTGACCTTTTTTCCATGTAATTA